CGACTGTTGCCTCACAGTCAATATCTGCGACCGTTGTCAGCTTTGTGGCCGACGATTTCGTTCCCCTGAGGCAAAGCAATGCAGTCCTAAGCAGAGAGAAGGACAGTCTACATCTCAACCCGGCTGCAATGTGGTTTCTGGGCTGCTGCTGTTCAGACAACACCTCCGCCAGTTCATGCATAGAAGCGTCTTGCACTTGATCCCATCCCGCCAGAGGTTGTGAACACCGGAGGAGTGAAGCTGCCCTCATCCACATTCTGAATTCTCTCTGCTACGCCCTAATCTTGTCGTTATCGTTTCTCTTGTGTGCAGCCTCAAGAGACAGTTTTGGTGGCATGCGGCCATGGGGTTGAAAAACCTAACATCAAAGAAGGCTCGCTGTCCTCACTTCTAGAATCCTCGAGCGCTGACAACCACACGGACTTCTTTAGATGTGTTGGAAGTCCTGTTATGGAGGTTCTCACAGTCCAAGGAAAGGAGGGTCAATTTCACCGTAACGTCATGGCAAATTTCCTTCAGTAAATTTACTGCAACTACTACTAAGATAACTTTTTTTTTAAACGTGGCCTCCAGCCTCCCCTAATAACCACACCTTCGCTGCCATTTTATTACCTTAAAATTAAATATCTTAATACAAAAGTAGCTACCCTAACTGCGTTGAGTTAGTTGAGCCGCAGATCTATGTGGCATTCAGTGACTCTTGCCGCATAGTCAATATCTGCGACCGTTGTCGGATTTTGGACCGAATATCTCGTTCCCTGAGGCAGAGAAAAGCCGACCGAAGGAGAGAGAAGGACAGTCGACATCTCATCCAGGCTGAAACATAACTTCTGGGCTGCTGTTCCTGTTCGAATATCACCTCCTCGAGTCTGGCGTAAAAGCATCTTGCACTTGGTCCCATCCCACCAGAGGTTGTGAACACTAGAGGAGTGAAGCTGCCTTGCTCAACGTTTTGCATTCTCTCCCCATATGCCCTTATCTTGTCGTTCTCGTTCCTCCTATGTGCAGCATCGAGAGCTAGGTTGCAGTGACATGCGGCCATGGGATCATAAATCCTGATGTCGAAGAAAGCTCGCTGTCCCCGCGTCCAGAATCCTCGAGCACTGACGTCAACACGGGCTTCGTTAGATGTGTTTGAAGTCCTACATTGGAAGATCTCACCACCCAATGGAAGGAGGGTCGGTTCTACCATGACATTCCGACAGATTTCCTTCAGCATATTTGCTGTAAGGTCCCTTACTTCGTCATGCCTCATGCATATGAAGCCCCCTTTCTTGCACACCATGGCGTGATCGCCGTCATAGGAAGAGCCACACACGCATTGGGAGGGCAAACCTTCTACTGTCCGACCATACCTTAGAGCAATGGCATCTGTAAATTCTTGTTTGTTAAGACTGAAACCATTTGCCCTTATCGGTAACGTAGTTAACCAGTTCGAGGCGCCCACCTCCTGCTCTATAGCTACTTTTTTTTTTCAAATTTTCTTGAACCTGCAGCAACAGTTGCTGCTTCTTATCATTTTGGCAGTGCTGTCGATCTGTCGTAATGGACCTACGAATCTCGTTTACTTCACTGGTCTCGACCTCCCCTGTTGCGTTCTGGGCTATTATGTGGTCCGTGAGGGCTGCCGTGACCTTAAGTGAATTTTGATGTTCGGTGGCTGCAATCTCCTCTGGATTGGTTAGTCCCATCCCTCCCAGTCTTGATGGAAGTGCAAGAAGTGCTCTTTCTGCTGGGGTTAAGTGAGTGTGTTTCACTAATTTGGGAATGAACTTGACACTGATAGCTTCTTCCAGAGGGTGGAGGAGGAGTCCGATATCAGAGATAGTACGCATCAGGTAGTTCCAGCGATGCTTGACTCCATGGGTGAATGCAGCAAAAGCCGCATGTGGCTCTGTGTTAGCAATCTCAGACAGAGCTTGGATTTCACTAACCCACTCATTCACCTTTCCCGCTACGTACTCGGTCTTGAAGTCCGAAGTGCCAATTACTGCGCCTAGATGTCTTTGGTCGTCCTTAGTTATTTTGACCTCACTTCCGTCAAAAACCTCCTTTGCCCGTTCATAATGTTCTGGCTTCACGATGAGGAAGGACTTGCTGGCGTTTGGGTGGTACCCTATTTGTGGACCTCGCGATGTTACCAAGTCCCACCACTTTTTGATGCCCTCCACTTTTCCTCCTCCTGTAAGGTCGTCAGCATACGCCACTTGTTTGACCCCAGTTGTTTCAAAATTTATTTCTTGTTGGAGCACTGATAGACCTATTGCATACATTGCCATTGCAACAGGGTCCCCTGTGTTGTTCCCTCGGTTGACTGTAAGATGGTATCACCTCGTAGGGCCTTGTTGTTTACTATATAAAGGTCTGATGGATTCCTATAGGAGTTTTCAACGTACATTGCAAAGCTTGGACACTTGATCTTGATGTTGTGCAGTGCAGCCTTGCGGTTAAGTATGTTAAATGCGTTTGAAGCATCCACCAGGAGAACGGCCTCACAATCACGCTGCTCAAATATCAATCTCATGGCAGCCTCCCCACCAGCCTGGTGGCCAGCACACACTTGTAGGTTCCCTGCTGCTACCCTGACATCATCCTTTACCAACTCCATTATGCATTTTCCGATGATCCGCCTCTACTGATGATGATGATGATGATGATGATGATGATGATAATAATAATAATAATAAAAGTAATAATAATAATGTCAGAGAGAAACAGTCTGATCAACAAAACACTTTACGTAACATATTTTTCACATTATTAATTATAAATATTAGTTTCTCATGTATGATGTTTGGAATTTTTGCAGCTAATATTATTATTATATGAAATTCGATAATTGTCTATATCCAACTATGAATACACTATTACTACTAACAGATGGGATATTTATAAGCTCCTTCATATCGCCATAACATCCCTTTCACTGTTACCTCCTCTCACACAACAACTTCTTAATATTCCAGTATTATGTCCTCTTCTTGTTAATATAACCTAACCCAATAACCATTACCTACTAATATCCTATCAACTACAACATCCCAATATTCTACAGTCACTTTACTTCCTCCAAGTGGCAAGATGTGGTAGTGTTACTCAACAAGAAATATGAAAGTAACAACGTGGAGGATGCAATCACCACTGACAGCTGCACGGATCTCAACAACTTCACCGCCACAAATTATGCGTCCACAGGGATCAACTACATCCAAAAGTGCTTCAACTATCAATAACATCCCTCCACTGATCTCCCCTCCTCCGCATACAATTAGTGAAAAGCAGTGGTGACTCAAGCGTGTGTCTCATCAGTAAACTGTAAGGTTCTTTACCTAGCGTTTCGAAAAAAAAATCATCATCAGAGCCTAGAAAACAAAAAATGTTTAAATAAAATTACAGGTAATACTTAAATAATATAAGAAATATAATAAAAACGAAACATTATTCTAAACTTAACCTTCCGTAAAAATGTTCATAGTAACATAGCATTACAATTTACAACAATTAAAAATGAATGTAGACCTAAGTACAAAACCAAAACAGAAAAATTTAACATACAAGAGGCATCACCTTAATCGAGGCGACACTTACTGAGTAAAACACAACAATTCACTTGAGGCCATATCAAATGGATGACTGTACTTTGTATTGATACTAAGTTTCCAAAATGAGGAGGTCCGTCTCACAGTTGCTCCTGCCGAGAACTGAGAAATCAAACTGTGAGAAAGGGTGGTCATATTGGTTACGGACAGCTGAATGAGGTGGTTGTGTAATTAACTGGCCTTTTCGGACGAAACGGCCGAGTGCTGATGGATGCGAGTTTTCAAGTGTCTATTTTTTTTTTTACGTATATGTTCGAAAAAAAGAACCGAAAAACGGCCACAATTCGCTGTGGTTGTTTGGATAATAATCAGACTCCGGAATTTTGCAATAGGTTAAGTTAGGTTTGGTTAGATTAGTTCAGATTACATTAGGTTACGCTAGGATCGTTTAGGTTAATATTTGCTTGAGTTTGATTAGGTGTGGATAGATTAGTTTAGGTTTGGTTAGCTTAGGTGTTGATTCAATTAAGTTTAGTTAGAATAGTTTAGGATTGTTAGCTTAGGTTTCGGTCAGTTAGGTTAGGTTATACGAGGCAAGATTAAATGAGGTGGCTGTTGGATAAAACCAAAGATACAAAATTCGTTTTCTGGTTATCTTGAAAACGTCTACAAGGAGCTGTGGTCGTTTTCGTTCTTAAACCTAATATATAATTATTTGCTGCCTACTACGCACACAGTTTTAATGCTATATTCCACACAAAAGTTTACTTGAAAGTAAATTTAGTAAATAACACCCATTTCTTATTTCACTATATTGTATATTTCTTTATTTTCTTTTTGTGTATTATCAAACTCCAATTATAAATTTTTTTTTTTAAAAGTGAGATGAAAGAATACTTAACATAGTCAAAAAGTTTGTATTTTCCCTGGTTCTCTTTTTTGTGAGACTGTGCTTTCCACGTAATTGCTGAAGTTATTATACACACATTGTATATGTAACAACAACCTTGTATATATATATATATATATATAGTAGTCTAAGTATATGTAATATACAAGAAAAAAAAAAGTTCTAGCACTTTCATGGTTATCATATATATATATATATATATATATATATATATATATATATAATGGTCATTTGGCGCCCTACCTCTAGCACGTAAATTCCAGGGTGCTGTTGCAACGATGACATTGGCGTCATATTCAATAGGAACCATTTCACTAGTTTTAATAAATTTGTGTAATGGAGTTAATAAACCTTGAGTAATGAGCGAACATTGAATGTGTACTCCAGCGTTCATCAACTAAAAGGACATCTTATTCTATTCAGTTATCTTATATATCCTGTCACATTTAATCATTTCAATAAATGCAGATAAGAAACTCGGCGCTATGGTGACGCATTGTGCTAAATGGGGGAAACTAAGCGGGAGGGGGTGTAATAATATATAAGCACAAGCGAGGAGCAAGAAAACCACAACACATTTTCACCTACAACTGCAACGACGTAAGTATTGTGCCAAGTATTCTTACTAAATTGTTTTTGTATATCGTGAGCTTTTATCAATGCCTTAACAGTGAACTTAACGCGGTATTCACAACATTTACCAAGATCATTCTAAAATATCTGTCATAGAGTTCAGTAAACAAAAACACGTCTCTGTACACATCTGGCATTATAGTTTTCGAATTATATCTAAGAATTTACTCCAATGTTTAATTCGCTACACCAAAACCAATACACTGTGAATATCTTATCAGTTCAACTTAGTTACACAAGGAAACCATTCCATTACTTGTGAGTAAAATGCGCTTTCCTGAATGATCAATGGAATCAACATTATCCATTTATAAATAATCGGTTTTCCTCATTTCATAAATAAAACTATATCAGTATTATATTGATTTATTAGACACGACTTTCTTTGTTCAGAAATATTCTAAAGTATATTTTATCATATGAAATAAACAAACAAACTGTTTCCATAACTAATGATGCAATTTTCAATGCTTTTGTATATCTTTATATATTATATTTGATGAAAATCACGTATTTTGATTTAAAGGGGAGCGGCTAGTAAGAGATATCCAATAACGATAATGAAGAGTCATGTTTCCTAAAATGATCATCAAATGAAATGAGGACGAACAAAAGGCGTTTTATACAATGGGCAAAAACGTGCCTTTACACATTATATTTGTGGTTATTACACGAACTTAATCTTTGCTCAGACAGGAAAAATATTGTGGAATTCAACTGAAAGTCAGCGAGAGAGAGAGTGTGTGTGTGTGTGTGTTTGTGTTAATAATAATAATAATAATGATAATAATAATAATAATAATAATAATAAAAATAATAATAATAATAATAATAAGAAGAAGAAGAAGAAGAAGAAGAAGAAGAAAAATAATAATAATAATTAACGGTCTATTAAAGGAACATAGCTGCCAGATGGCTGAAAATATACAGTTACATAATTGGGAAATGGGTCATTTGATTGATTATTAATATACAAGTAACATAAGTGATACAAATATGATATATAATAAAAAGGTTATACTACAGGGCATTTCAACTTAGTAACAGTGCAAAAAGGTTAGATTGACTGAGAGTGAACACACTGGTTGATTACGAGTTGCTGATAAATTTTACAATGGTTGGGACTCGGCTGTTCTTATAGCGATCAGTACGAGCTCGTAAGGGCTGGATGCCGTTGTGGTGTCGAACAGCAATTACAGCAATTCGCGGACGAGGGATCTCGGGTGGAAGAAAGGGACGACGTAAAGGATGGTACAAAGCTTCTCACCGAATTTCCTGATGAAGTCGCCGTGATGATCTGAGAAAGCCGAGAGGGTCACTGTGTTGAGTGCTTCTTGATACGTGGAGTAGGAGGAGGAGAGAATAATCTTGCATGCCCTCTTCTGTACGTTTTCTAGGCGTTTCCGTTGTGCGAAATTTAGGGAGAAAGATGGGGCATGGGAGGCAGAGGTGAGCGTGGGAAGTATGAATGTTGAACAAGCACTGAGGAGCTCGGGCGCAGAAACTCCGAAGGAATTGAGTCGGCAGAGGAGGTGGAGACGAAATTTGGAGGATTTGACCATTGTCTGATGTTTATGTTCCAATTTACTTTGATATCTATTGTGACGCCGAGGAGTTTGGTGGAGTCCACAACCTGGAGTGTGTTTGGGCCCAAAGTAATGACGGAGATGGGGCAAAGTCAGTGGAGAGGTTGATGTGCATAACCATGATCTTGGAATGGCCGATGTTGACATGGTTGTTGGTGGCCCCCATACTACTGACTGAAGTTGGTTTACTTCAGGTGTTGCAGTTGTTTGGGTAGTGAGACTTCTTTGCAGCTCGTATTTAGGAGGGAGATAGGAAAAAACTGGTTCACAAATAGGGTGGTGGACGAGTGGAACAAGCTTAGCAACTTTGTAGTAAGTGCAGGAACTCTGGAAAGTTTCAAAAGGAGGCTAGATAGATTCATGGATGATAGAGAGTGGTAGTAACTCTCGACAGGAGCTGCCATGCACAGGCCAACCGGCCTATTGCAGACTCCTTATGTTCTTATGTATTTCATGGATTACTTGGTTGCGAAGGGACCTGTAGCGATTGTGGTCATTGAGATAAAAAGCGTGTGTGTGTGTGTGTGTGTGTGTGTGACACCAATATATGTAATCATTTCATTTGGAATTAAATTATATGACAAACCAAAAAGTAATTACCTAGCATGAAAATTAACTTTCTAAGTCTCGTCCTAACATTTTTAAACAATATTTTTGTAAACACATTTCTATTGGATGGAGTTACTGATTGAAACGAAAATTCGAATGCTTACCGCCAGGCCTGCCCATTACCGCTCTTTATATATGATACTGTACCCAACTAAATTATTTTTCAGCTATGAAAGAAGAACCCACTTCCACATCCTCAATATCAAATAATTTAACATCTATAAAGTATTATTACAAGTAATATTATCATCATCATGAGATCTGGATATTTCGGTTGTATTTTAAGGTATACGATATGGCATGTTTAACACATTGAATTATTTGAATCAACCTAAGAAAACCTTTTTCAGTAATCAGTGAAAAGTAAGGAAGTAGAGTCAGAATGATGAAGATGAAAGTGTTACTGGCAGTGATGGTGATGACGGTGAACGCTGAAGAAATACAAAAACCGACTAAAGATCTGCAGTGCGGCCAAAACTATATCAAGCCTGGCGAGGAGTTCTTACTGAGATCATCAACACATCTCATCGACGAGAACAAAAAGTAAGATGATCCCCACCACATGAAACCCACCATAACACATGTACACCATAACGCCACATGTGCAATACAACAACAAAATACGTTTATATTATTATTTATATAATTATTAATATTATTATTATTATTATTATTATTATTATTATTATTATTATCTTTATTATTATCTTTATCTTTTATTTTGTGTTATTTGTATTATCATTATTATTATAATTATTATTACTACTACTATTATTACTATTATTATTATCTTTCTTAATATATTTATCATTATTATTATTATTATTATTATTATTATTATTATTATTACTATTATTATTATCTTAAATAAATTAAATGGTCTGTTACAGGAAAAATCTCAGGGCAACTTTTAAATTCAATTTGATATATTTTCACTTCCCAGTTAGGATAAAACCTTAAAATAGGAGGCCCTCAGTATCTAGGCTACAAACTCATAACTTCTTTCTGTCAAAATCTTGCAACAAGTTATATTATCGTGACAGACACAGGTATTGCATCCACCACCATTACCACCACAGGCGCTCTGAAACAATCCACTTCACATGTGTTCCACCCAACACAGTTACAATCACACGTGTTCTGTCATTACTCGCACAATTGTTCTACCCACCAACATTACCTATACAGGTATCTTTTCAAAATTCCCTTTACATGTGTTTTCTCTCCCACAATTATAAATATACTGTAGGTGTTCTGTCATAATGATACACAAAACTTAAATTTTTCACAAATGAGATTATACCTGATCACCCCATCCCACAGATGTGAGTACAATATCAACTGCAGTGATGGGGAGTCAACTTTCTTTGAAATAAAGACTCCCATGCTTAACCTGCTCCAAGAATGTGCCCAGATTCTCGAAACTGACAGTTCAACTGACCAGAGGTAAATGAAAGTGATCTCTCAGATTACCATAAATTTCCATTTTTAATATTGCTAGTACTACTACAAGTACTACTACTATTGTTTCTTGTATAATATTTAAACTATTTTTATCGCTGATATATATATATATATATATATATATATATATATATATATATATATATATATATATATATATATATATATATATATATATATGCAAATAAATCACTGTAGGTGCGCGTGATCTAGGTATATGCTGATAACCACAAGGAAAGAAAAAACACGAAGTTCCCAAGCGCTTTCGTGTAATTCACATCTTCAGGGGTGAGTACAGACTAGTCTGTACTCACCCTGAAGATGTGAATTACGAAAAGCTGAAACTTCGTGTTTTCTTCTTTCCTTGTGGTTATATATATATATATATATATATATATATATATATATATATATATATAGATATAGAATATATATATATATATATATATATATATATATATATATATATATATATATATATATATATATATATATATATATATATATATATATATATATATATATATATATATATATATATATATATATATAATCAGACATTCATGTACACTGGATGCCAGTAATTCCGGAGAACAATATTAGTTTTCTAAGTACATTTCTACAAAAAAACGACTACGGTTACTACAACAACTACTACTGCTACTTTTTTTTTTTTTTTAAACGTGGCCTCCAGCCTCCCCCAATAGCCACACCTTCGCCGCCATTTATTTACCTTAATATTAAATATCCTAATACATAAGAAGCTATCCTATCTGTGTTAAATTAGTTGAGCCGCAGATCTATGCGGCATTCAGTGACTGTAGCCTCATAGTCAATATCTGCAGCAGTTGTCGGAGTAGGGGCAGAAGCTCTCGTTCCCCTGAGGCAGAGCAAAGCCGACCGAAGGAGAGAAGGACAGTCGACATCTCATCCAGGCTGTAACATAACTTCTGGGCTGCTGCTTCTGTTCGGAGATCAGCTCCGCGAGTCTGGCGTAGAAACATCTTGCACTTGGGCCCATCCCACCAGAGGTTGTGAACACTAGCGGAGTGAAGCTGCCTTGATCGACATTTTGAATTCTCTCCCCATATGCCCTTCTCTTCTGCTACTACTACTATCTTACTACTGATACTGTAATGGATACTCCCGATACTAAGACCTTGAGTGTATGCTACTGAACGTGGAGACATGATGTCTGGTCGATCTATGAAAATACAAGGAGTATTTTGAACTACTGCCACTCTGTTATTTCTGATATACTCTCTGCAACCAGTAATATAATATTGCTAGAATGTTTCACACGTCCTCGTTGTCACTGTCAATTCTTCTCAATAACATTCTCCTATCACTATAACCTTCCTGTCACCATAAACACATCCCATTACCATAATCTCCTAAAATTTTATTACTATAACCTATTATAACATTTACAACTAGAGTTAACTTGTGGTTTTGTTACCCTCGACAGGGCGTGTGGAACTGTGCACCAGTCTATCAATCACATCCCTAAAAGCAAGATAAGTTTCACCATCGGAGAAGATGTTCCCGCTGGGACCATAATCTCCATCCAATGCAGAGTGCAGGAAAAAGTCCCAGCGCACAGGCAGTAATGCCTCGAGCAACTGTATCTATTCTCCATATACAAGACTGTTCTCCAACTTCAGTCTGAAATGTTTTGGGAATATGTTCATTTGAAGGAGAGATACTTTTTTTTTCCCTAAGCCCGTTCTCAGATATAGAACCTAACCTAACGTTCCTGACTGAGGAAAAGGTTTATGTAAACAACCAATAACATAATCTTAATTTACTCAACACTAGGAATAGAAAAAACGATGCCATTAACTGTTCGGCTACCACCTTAAGAAAAATCTCTCAGATATAACCAACTCCTATGCCATTTTAACCTATATATATATATATATATATATATATATATATATATATATATATATATATATGTGTGTATATATATTACCATGTCATAAACTAGGAAAAAGGTATTAGAAATATAATATATCTGTCTCCCGGATGTCAACTAACATGACATATTGTGAACTTATCTCCTGTAATCTTCTGTTCATCTCCAACAGTGTATTGACAGAATAGAATACATATAATTACAAAAATAGTTTCTATTATCCTGATTATAAGTACATTAAACTACCCTTGTGATAATTAAGAATTAAGAATTGTTTTATTAAACGAAGACAAATTAAGAAAAGCGTATCCCGAATACAATAAACATTTCAGTAGGAAGTATTTAAGTGATTTCCAGAAGGACGACAAAACATACATAAATATTAAGGACTATTAGGTTTTTAGTATGAGATGAGATAATATTAATGGGTATATTGAGTCAGGGCGTCAGGGGAAAGCAGAGACAACAATGGAAGGATAAAATTAAAGGTTAGGTCCCTAGATAGATACAAAATATGATATCATTATTGTTAAAGCTAGCCACCAGAAATATTGACTGGATGCTAAGATCACCTGCCCACTATCGTGATAATTTTAATTCATCTTTAGGAATCTCCTTTTACACCTCATTACCTTCTCGCGTCAGGTGAAGGTGTGCATTCATGGGACCCAAATGACACTGTATTTCAGCAGCCTATTTCTTACCCTAATATAATAATCTCTTATAAATACCCCCTTTAGTACTCTTAAATATTGTGTCTACTTGACTCATTTCCTTTCAATTTTTCTTTCCGTCTTACAATTTTTATTTATAGAACTAGCGGAATAAACAAAATATTTCACTTGTTAAAGTTTTTTGTTTATCGCAAAAAAGTCCATTCTAGGATTTAATTTAAATTTAGAAAAAGATTTTTTTTTGGGGGGGGCATAATTGACATTACACCTATATTCTTAACCTTTTCCCCTAATCTGATGAGCTACAGTATTTTTAAAATAGTTCTTCCTATTTGCCATTGGAGTACATTTTTATCTGCATTCAAAGTATTTGATATTACTGTAAAGTAAACGTTTATTCCTTTATCGATATTTCCAGCTTCTCCCGTAAAATACTTATTTATAATTGGTATTAATCGTCATCAACAGGCGTGTGGTGGGTGAGTGAATAAATATTAATAAATAATAAATATATATTTATATATATATATATGCAATCAACACCTCAACCCGGCAGGATTCGAATCCACGGCCCACGAGCACATGACTGGTGAACGTTAACCACTGGACCACCAGGATACTAAGAGCATGTCTAGACTTTGTTATATTTCACACAAAACCTGTTTAACGTGCTCGTGGGCCGTGGGTTCGAATCCTGCCGGGTTGAGGTGTTGATTGTATGAAGAAGTCCACGTGTTTATTGGGCTAATGAAATAAATAAATAAATAAATATATATATATATATATATATATATATATATATATATTTATTTGTAATAATTGTTTATCAGACCACAGCTTACAGCCCAGAGAAATACAACACATATAACAGTAAGTAAATGCCCACGTGGTAACCAACATAGCCTGACACACCCTACAGTGACAGTAAGACCTAACACAGGGGAGGTCATGGACAAGGTACCTGAGTTAACCGGGCGTTATGACCGTGTTACTCAAGAAACTACACCTGGACAAGCTGTCCAGACCTGACCCAAGAGAGGTCAGTCTCATTGACCCAGATTCCTCACCGACACGCGATATATATATATATATATATATATATATATATATATATATATATATATATATATATATATATATATATATATATATATATATATATATATATATATATATATATATATATATATATATATATATATATATATATATATATATATATATATATATATATGTGTGTGTGTGTGTGTGTGTGCCGAAGACCTGCCGACCACACACTTAACCACGGCTAACGAGACTGTTTTTGAAAACCGAGTGCCCGTCTTTCTTGGGCACGAAATCAGATTCTAGCCAAGCAGCACATTTAAGCCAATGATATCCCACTCACAGGTCACTGTGATTCGCTTATGCCTCAGGCACTCTTTGTTTTGGAGGGTACACTCATGTAGTGTGTTATAGTGGGTAATCTTTCTGTGTGCGTGTGTGCATCCGTGTTTGTGTGTGCACAGGGTGGTATAATGAAACTAGTGTCGCAGCATTATGTTAGTGTTAAGGTGCACGCATTGCTTGCTCCCTCTCGCTTTCAGCTACCGCCACTGGCTAGCCCTCATGGTGAACAGGAAAGCAACTTGCATAAGTCTTCCCCTGCCAGTACAGAGCCTCTTCACCATCAGGACTCCTGCTGTGCCTCTTTGCGGCAACACACAGTAACTCGGTGCCTCGTGGGCCCAGGCTAGACCAGCAGGTTATCCCGGACCCCAGAAGGATGGCATATAGGCCCACTGGCATGTGGACACATCCTGGCGCCTACCAACCATTGCCCCACTGCCTTCCGGTTAACCTTGGGTGGCATAAGGCTACGGGAGTAAACCCCTAACGAAAAATCTGTGGTGGAGCCCCGCATCAGGCAGACATGTTTACAGAGCTCCAACAAAACCCCAACGGCAGTATAGGCGGAAGAAGTGACCACCATGGGAACCCAACGACTACACCGGCGGATGAAGGCAATGCATGATGGACAAGATGCAACACTTGCACCACTGGATCATGAAAAGGAGAGCAAAGACGAGTGGTTGCAGCCTGAGCTCCTGCCTCAACACATAAATCAACTTACGCGCAGCCATCATCCAGCTCGACATACCTCTTATCATCATCAAAACCCCTATATCCCCAAAAGTCCTATGGCGACGGACGAGTGGCGACGGGAACAGGCAGAGATGACTGCCGGGAATCTTTAGTCACAACTGCACAAGGGCGGTAGCAGTGCAATCCGGTTCTATCTCTGCTACTGAGCAGCTCTTTCAAGGAGCCACTCAGCTCACCCCACATGGGGATGGGGCTAGAAAAGGTGCCCAAAACTTTGCCTGCCTAAAAAAAAAAATAACTATGCAACCGCACCCAGTAAGGTCATCCTTATGCGGTCGTGAACACAATTAAAATCACAGATCCAAACAAAACAAACTATACAACCTCTTATGATTGCTGCAAGAAATGTCAAGACCCTTCTGGATACTGGTACAAATGAGCTTCCTGAAAGAAGAACTGCCCATGTGGCAAAAGAGCTTGTATGTATATTATGTATGTTGTATGTATTCTATGTATGTACTCCATTTATATACATGTGGCAATGTATTTTTCATGTCACCACACACTTAGATAATGTGCCTGGCGACATCTGGAAGCTGCTAATGTACCACTTGCCACATGTCGCCTGAGAGGTCAGAGAGAGGTCAGTTGACCCATAGAGAGTGTAGGGACTGCCGGCACTTGGAGTGCACCTCTGTACATTCCGTCAAATAGAACCTAAAAAACTCTACAGGTGTTTGTGTTTGCTCCTGTAGTTAGAACTAAGTACCCAGAACCCCTACATGGCACAGTGAGTTGATTGACTGGAAGTATAAGTGCCATTGTGTAAAGTCAAAACCGGTAGACCCCCCCCGGCCCCGTCAACCATCCTCATGCTCTCCTAATCGCATTGTCTCCCATAAAAACTTTTTTCAAATTAATAACGAGTTTGAGCAATGTGCAGTGACCGCAAGTTCCTGTGAAGTGTCATAAGTGCCCTGTGTGTGAAGTGAGATAAAAGTTTGACCTTGTTCTAAAGGATTCCCCAAGGTGGAAGGCTGGTTCACGGCATTTGTGAAAAAACAGGCCATCAGCGCATCCTCTCGCGGCTGTGTCTCGCGGGTAACTGATTAGCGCGAATCTCGACCGCTCGCTTCCCCCGGCCTACTGCCCGCCTACACACACCAACCCACGGGTACACACTCACACATCGACTGCAGTCATTCCTTTATATATATTATATATATATATATAATCTACTTAGCTGTGTATTTAATTTTTTTTGTCTCAGATCTTGTTGATACGACGGGCTGACCGGTCAACACTGATTTGAGATACAATATACAGATTAAGTAATTATACCTCGTAGTGGTGCAGTTGACACCCGGATGACGCCACAGACGGATGACAGCTCTACAGAAATAGATGACCAATCAGAACGAGACGCTCCACCCTCTCCCACCACATCTCGAAGTCCTTCACCTCGATATTCAGCCTTGTCTCCAGAGGTAATTGCATTAATGAAGTTTATGAGGGAGGAAAGGCGTGATGATGAAGCGAGAAGACGTGTTGAGGACGAAGAAAGGAGACAAGCGGAGGCAAACAGAGACCACCAAAGGAGATTGGAAGATAGGGAACGGTTTGCAGCTTTGATATCTAGCCTCACTGCTAACCAAGCCCCTGGCTCTTCCACTGCTTCGGTATCGACTGGCTCAGATACCTCGTCAACGCCTTCTGTATGCCCCCCAGCCCCACCCAAAGCAGCTGCCCAATCCCCACCCATCTTAAAGCCTGATATGACTTTCCAGACTTTTCGTGAGTGGCGGCGATGGTGGATTGATTATGCTACAATGGTGGATCTCCAGAGCTTGCCACAGCTTAAACAACTCATTCAGCTATGTATGTGCCTGTCTTTGGAAACGCAGCGTGTGTTGGAACATGCGTTGCAGGTGCCCCAGACTTCTTCGTTGTCTGTAGAGGAGGTACTGGATGTTCTAAAATGGCACATCAAAGGTCAGCGGAATGAAGCTCTACGCAGGAGGAAATTGTTTAGCTGTAGACAGATGGAGGGAGAGACTTTTGACGCCTTCTATGTACGACTCAAGAGAGCCTCGGAAGAGGTAGACAAATGTCCCAGTAATCACCAGCAGTGCGAGGAGACCCAGTTGAAGCAGGTGATCCTGATGGGTGTTAAGGACGAGGAGCTTGTCCAACGCCTCACCTCCCTCGACTCTTCCTCTTCTCTTAAGGATGTGTTGACAATATGTCGCTCCTATGAGGCTGCCAGTTGTGCCACCTCTGCCATCCGAGCGTCCCCTACAGCTGTACGGGCTATGTCCAAGTACAAGAAGTCTACCCCAACGCCTACGCCCACCACGCCCACGCCCGGCTCCCTTTGCAACAGCTGTGGTAGGCAGCACGGAACACAGGTGTGTCCAGCTGCTGAGTCTACCTGCAACAGTTGTGACCG